TAAATCGTATTGATGTTCCAACTAAAAAGAATCTCATCTGAAAAGACCTAAAATTACATTGCCACCCATGAAGGAAGAGATTTTCCATTAAGCCAATGAAAGGCAGGCATAGCAAGTTAAAAAAACGCCCAGAACTTGAGTCCCACATTGAAGACCTGAGGAGTGAAGTGTGCAAAGTAAGACTATGGCCACAATGCAGGTGTACGAGATGCATATGCACACACTGTATGAGTACACACTGATGCACACGCACCATACCATATATACAATCTAAATATACACACATTGATACACACACTATAGATATACACACTGATGTACATGCACCATACATAATCTATATATACACACATTGATACACACACTATATACATACACACTGATGCACACACACCATATATATATACATACACATTGATACACACACTATATACATACACACTGATGCAAATGCACCATACATTATATATACACACATTGATACACACACACTAGATATGTACACACTAATACACACTGTGTATATATACACACACTGATACATACTATACATGTACACACTGATACACAATTACTATATATGTATACACTGATGCACACACGCTGCCTATCTATACACACACTGATACACACACACATACACAATGTCTCCTGACACTAGACTACCATGGCCAGAGAGGTTGAGGGTTTGCTTTGTGCATCACGCTAAGCCAGTGGTCTAAATAACCATGTGCCCTATGCTGTTCTTCCAAGGAATGATTAAACCAGCAAACGTTTGAAGGTCATGCACTCAGAAGTGCTCATTGAGTGGCTGTGACAAGCAGCCACCATTCCAGGGACTTGGAGTGCAGCAGTGAATCAGGCATTAGCATCTGCCTTCTGTAACACTCACATTCTAACAGGGCGGATACTCAACCTGTAAAAACCCAGAAGAGATGATGTAGGATGAGAAGCAAACTGCATATATTTTAAAGAGTGTAACATCTACGTTACTCACAGGGTTATTGTGAGGATCAACTGAGAATACTTTGAAAACTATAAAACCTTACAAAGGCATCATTAAGACTTTAAAGCCTATGAATCTATCTCCAATGGTTAGGATTTGTAATAAATACTATTCATAGTAGGCGTCCTCAAACTACCACCTGCCTAGGACATTTATCTGACCCGCAGGGGTTTTTTGCCACCACTGCCTGTCCTGCTTAGCAGCCGACTCATCTGGGGACCTGCGGTCTGGCCCTCCAACAGTCTGAGGGACAGTGAACTGGCCTCCTGTTGAAAAAGTTTGAGGACCCCTGATAGAGATTCAACAAGTGTTTTCTAAGTGTCCCATGAAACAATCAAGTAAGAAGAGAAGAGGCTGGAGAAGCAGGTTAATAAACTTATATTAAGTTGTAATTAGTGAATTATCTGAAGTTCTAGTCTAACAAACCCTAAATCATGCTTGCAAGACACCAGGAGCCTGTTTTATTCATATTCTACAAAGCCTATAAAACAATGCTAAATGGCAAACAAGGTTAATTAAAAAAACAATACTGTAACGTACAACATATATCATTTTAAGCAGAAGCTTTTTGACAAAAGTCACCAGCTTCCAGCACAAATCATCACCATCTCCATCTCCAGTCAAATTAAGTATATTTCCTCGCAAGCATAACTTAACAAATGCAGGATAAATGCCAGGACAGATTTTGGAGTAAGATGCCTTCCAGCAGCAGTAAAGCAACTGCAATGAGAACAGGCTGTCTTCCCCGCCCTCCCCCCTGGCCCATTACTGTCTCCCCCTTGATGTGTCTTCCTGTGGGTTTTCTTGTAAAATAGATTTGGTCTGGTGACTAGACCAACAAAGGATTTGCTTGTAAAGTAGAAGGATTCACAGAAATGCAGAACTGTTACAAGAAGGACATTGGTATGTTTTGCAATAGGTGTAATATTTAAAAAACAGAAAAAGAATTTTAAGAGATTCCTTCAGGTGATCAAATGCATACTGAAGTTTAAGTAGTACTGTTTTACAACACGGATGTACCAGCTCTACATTTACTCAAAGTAAACTTTATCTGTTCTTAAAAAGTGTTCATTGTTGCTTGTGAAGATTATTCTGGTCAAGTCTCATTTTATTTATATGTATAAACACAAAGTATTTGTGGAATATTTTATCTACCCACCTGTTAAGAACCAGTTATCAAAATAAACAGCCCAATAGTGACTTTTAATTATCTTACATCAAAAAAATTAACATTTAGAAACATTTAATCCTACAAGAAAATACCTATTTGCTAGTGATTATGGATGAAAGAAAGTTAAAGGGGCTACAGGGAGGTGGGAGAGAATTATGGCCTCTGTACTAGAAATTTGGAAAGGAGCCTAAAGTAAATTAAAACCAGGAATTTGGGGTGGGTGCACCCTAGTTAATCAAATATATGCTATTCCTGCAAAATACAACTTCAGCCTGTGAACAGCCTGTCCTCAAGACTGAACAATCCCTCCATAAACCAAGACTTAGAACATATTATCACTTTGTTTAACATTTATCATTTTGTTTTACCCATAAAACAAAGGATCCCACGCAGACCAATACTCCCCATGATCGCCACAAACATCAGAGTAAAGACACTGTCATACCATCACTAGTAAAATAAGTTAACAATTATTGATAGAGAAAATTTATGACAACTGATGTAACTCACAACCAGTGAAACCAGGACCCAATGGGAATCCTTATAGATGAATGTAAGAGGGGTTGGGATAGAAGCACTTGTACTGGAGGACTGCCTTTGTGTGGGGTCTCCTCTCACTCACAAGGAGGACCCTTTCCCACTCTGAGAAGTCTATGCTTATCTCTGCTTTTCTTAGAATAAAAATTACCCTCCTTTCTTTACTTTAGGTAGACTTTTCCTCTGTTCTGCTATATTGGTGTCCCAGCTACCTTCTTTTCCACTCCCCTAGTTCTTGCTCTCTTTGACTCAACCAAACTCACTGGTTCTGTTGGGTGAGTCAAACCAGACCCACTGAACAGCCCTGATGTGAACTTTTACCCCTAACTGCCAGCGGCACAGTCTAAATTTTAGAATAATTTCTACCATCAATGTTTCATACATACATATACATGAATGTACATGTACACACACATATGTACACACACACACATAAAATTTTGGCCTTTGTGAAGCTAAAGAGCTATCTATAAAACGTAGCCGTATGGTCTCAAGATTAGAGATGGCAAAGCTTCACTGTTTCCATTTCTTTGAAGAAATCAATTCACTCAGGACGGAAACAATGTCAACATTTCAACAACAGGCAGAAAAATCTTTATTATGATGAAAATGAAAATACTTTCCTTTTTTATTTTCTGAGACAGAGTCTCACTATGTCAACCCTGGGTTGAGTGCCGTGGAGTCACAGCTCACAGCAACCTCAAACTCTTGGGCTTATGTGATTCTCTTGCCCAGCCTCCCAAGTAGCTGGGACTATAGGTGCCCACTACAATGCCTAGCAGTTTTTTTTGGGGGGGGGGCGGGGGGGGTTTGTAGTTGTCGTTGTTTGGCAGGCCTGGGCTGGGTTCCAACCTGCCAGCTCCAGTGTATGTGGCTGAGACCCTAGCTGCTGAGCTGCACTGAGCTACAGACCTTTTCATCTCAGAATCATGGATCTAAAAACTGAGAAATTCTGCCCAATCATACTAATTAGATACTCGCCTACCTTATTCACTAAACATCAGAAAACATTTACCCAAAATGTGTTCTGCTAAATAAGTTTGAAAAACGTATCAGAAGTAGGGAAATAAAGTTCAATAAATACTGAATTACAATAATGCAACCCCTTTTTTTAAAAGGGAAAATAAACTATCTCACATTTAAATTCCTGGGTTTTTTTTTTCAAAGGAGAAAAAAGGGTAAGTCCCCTTATCATTACAGATTATCAGTGAATACTTCATAAAATGCAAACTCTAAGACACAGTGACTAGTGTCTAGTGCAGACAGGAAGCTATCTCAAGCAACACCTAAATGTCCTTAACTTTGACTACCTGTTCACAATTTAACTGCTTATAGACAAAACCCCTACCTACCCTCACACTCTACTAGATTACTGAGTTGTCCACCTTTTACTTGCTGTTTCCTCTTCAACCATAGGAAAACATTTGCCTGATAGAAAATGCTGTAATTTGAATATTTATGTCCATTTGAAACTCATGTTGAAATTTATCTCCAACATAGTAATATTAAGAGATGAGGCCTTTAGGAGGTGACTAGGTCATGAGGGCTCTTCCTTTGTGAATGAGATTAAGATCCTCTCTATATAGATCTAGCAAGAGTTATACAGACTGAACTGAAACAGGGTCTTGCACTGTCACCCAGACTGAAATCCAGTGACACAACCACAGCCCACTATAGGCTCAAACTCCTGGGCCAAAGTGATCCTTCTGCCTCAACCTCCCAAGTAGCTAGGACAACAGGCACACACTGCCACACCCAGCTAATTTTAAAACTTTTTGTAGAGGTGGGATCTTCCCATATTGCCTAAGCTAGTCTCAAACTCCTGGCCTCCAATGATCCTCCTGCCTGGGCCTCCCAAAGTGCTAAGATTACAGGTGTAAGCCACTGTGCCTGGACAGATTAAGACCCTTATAAGAGGCTTCACATAGTCTTTGGCCCTTTTTGCCATGTGAGAACACAGCATTTAAGGGACATCTTAGAAGCAGAGAGACTGGGCCCTCACCAGACAACAAGACCTACTGGTGCCTTGATCTTGGACTTCTCAACCTCCAAAACCATGAGAAATAAATTTATATTATTTATACATTACCTACTCTTAGGTATTTGTTATAGCTGCACAGATAGACTAAGATAGAACACTCAGAAAGTGTTAATATTTCATCAGGCTCTTTAATTTCTCCTATAAACCAAAATGCTGAAAGAAATAAGAAATCTATGATTTTCCATCATTAAAATGTGATATTTATGTTTTATAATCTATGATGAAAAAAGATGTTTACTTAAAAATACTTTGAAATTATTTTAATTCAGAAATAGAAAACATCTTGGAAGAAAAACATGACAAAATACATAGGCAAATTTTTACTCCATGAGCTTCTCAAACCCTCACTGTTCACCAGTCCCTAAGATGAAAAACATTCTTCCAAAATGAACTCAGCCACCACTGTAAAACAAAGAAAAAAATGGTCATTTCTGAGCATATGTAGGATTTTAATAATATTTGAACTGTAATAACGTAAGGACTCAGGACTAATTATTCGAGAATCACACCTAACTTTATCACAAGATAGCACAAAAGAAAGGCACATTGAACTGTAAAATTCTGGAACTGAAAAGGTCCACAGAGATGGTGTGGCTACTAGAATAGGCATAGTTTAAATTTTACACTGCTTATTTGGGAACTGCCATTTTGAAACAATGTAGCATAATGCCTTTCTGAACATGACAAAAAATATGAATTATAAGACAGAATGGTTACTTAAGAAGCTTTTCGAGTACATATATAGTCAACAAACCAGTCGAAAATAAAGACAATACACAAGCACAATGGGTTCTCAACCAATACATCTTACTGCAATCAAATCTGGTTTAATCATAAAAACAAAACACCTTTTCTACAGAACTGCTAAGTTTTGGGTTTTTTGTTTTTTTTTTTTTTGAGACAGAGCCTCAAGCTATCCCCCTGGGTAGAGTGTCATGGCTTCACTGCTCACAGCAACCTCCAACTCCTGGGCTCAAGCAAGTGTCCTGCCTCAGCCTCCCAAGTAGCTGGGACCACAGGCGCCCGCCACAATGCCTGGCTATTTTTCAGCCATTATTGTTGTTTGGCGGGCCCGGGCTGGATTCGAACCTGCCACCTTAGGTGTATGTGGCTGGCACCTTAGCTACGTGAGCCACAGGCACTGAGCCAGAACTGCTAAGTTTTAAAAGCATAAACATTTTAAATTGTATGGTCAAATGTACTTTTAGTACTGTGATGTCAAATAAACAATATAATTTCATTACTTGATAAAAATTATAAAATCATTCCTGAATATATACCTATGAGTACTTTAACACTGAAGTAACTTATCTACCTGTTATTAAATAGTATTCTATAATTAAAACACCAGCAAATGAATAACTCCTTTAAATTATGATACTGTAGATATTAACTTCGAGGGCTATAATTGTAAAGAAAAAAAGAACAAAATCATAAGAAAAATATGCAATAATTTGATTAATGAAAATGAAGCCTGTGGTTATTATTTCCCTTGCTATTACCTCAAAATGATTTACACAGTGACGTGTGCTCTTTCAAGCAAGGGAAAAAAAGATTTCTTTCAGTTATACAGGCTATGGTTTATGGTATAACGTGAAAAGAATAAGTTTTCTGTTGCCATTCTCCCAAAAGGTTTTAAAATTAGCCTTTAAGGTAAAAAATATCTAAAAACAGATTGTCAACTCAAATACTAAAGCAACTTTTTAACTAGAAAAAAAAGCTTTCTATGCAAATAGCTTCCAAAAGGTTTCATATGCTGCTCTATCACTTATTAGCCATGCCTCAGTTCCTTCATGAGGACTAAATGACTTGACTCACATAAAGCAGGACGGCCTGTAGAAAGTTCTCAGGAAATGTTAGCTATTGTTACTATCAGTACCATTACAAAAAGGCAAAGAACTTGAAGATGTTCACTTAATTCTACAAACACTTAGTGCTTATAATGGATGCAAGAAGGCTGGACTAGGTTCTATAGAAGATGTACTGTATATAATATAAATAATAAAACAGGTGTGCCTCAGAACTCACAATCCAATATCAAAGACAGGCATACCTAAGTATCACTGAAGACAGATATTGATATCTGACAAGAGAGACAAAAATACAGTGCTAAATGAAGGCTACGGACAAAATTTGAAAGATATTTGTATACCAACAAAAGAAAAAAAGAAGGAAAAGACAGGCTTACATTTTGATGTTGAGGGTAAAACTAAAAACAATAAAGGGTGACTTTCACAGGAAACTAATTTCGTACCAAGCTAAAGAAACACTCCTATCAGTTAAGCCCGTCCCATGTCTGAATTGGGGTACAAGAAGAGCAAAAGCACTGAGTATGAGAGAAGGGCCCTCACAGAGATGAAGCCACCTCTTCCTTCCACAGATTAGGTTAACTGCAGCCCAGAGACAATCTTGAGTTTCCTAATTCTGTTCAGTATTCTCCTCATGATTCTATAATTTCACAACTGACATTTCTCATTACTAAAATAAAGGAATTTCTGACCTGACAAATGAGATTTGAATGACTGAGCTCTAACTCTTCATGATCCTAGAATACCTCTTTATGGCATTTCGGCTCAATAACTATGGTAACCTACTTATGAAATTCCTTTGACAATATGCATTCAGTTACTTGTCATTGAAAAGAAAATCTTCACCAGTATCAGTGATAAAATGCCTAATATTTAAGAGGTTTATAGTTTGAAAGCTTTTTAAAAATCATTGCTTCAAACTTCACCACTCCTTAAAATAGATATCACTACCTTCAAATGGCAGATAAGCCTGAGAGATGGAATGAATATAAAATCATAGTAAATTTACTGAAACTCATCCCTAGTCTTTGAACTAAACTGAATTACCCATCTGACTAACTACTCAAAGCCAAGAAGGGGTCCCAATGACTTGTAATGAATTTTAAAAAAGCAAAAGTATTTAGAAAAGAATAAAGTGATCCTAACACTCTCAGACTTTTCTCCTCTGTAACATACTTAAAGGATATCATCCCATTAGTATCATGGCTCATTACAATAAAAACTTCCACTTAAGTTCTCACCCAAATTTATTTTTAGGGCCCTGCAGGACTTCAGTTATAATCTCAGTGAGAACTATTATCCTCATCGAAAAAAGTAGGCACAGAAAAGCTAAGCAAATTGCTCCTGGATACAGCCACTGAGTAATAAGAAAAAGGATTTGAATCTACAGGATCTGATCCACAGTAAGAATGCTATCCCAACAGTAATTTTAGCACAGGTAGCATCTCCTCTGCACTTTAACTACTGACAAGATGTAACATTAAGAAGTCTTGGATTTGTATACTGGGTCGTCACTGAATTGTTCTTTTGTGACATATCAAGAGCCTTTAACTTACTTTCTTGACCCTACAAAAATTCTATTTATTATAGACAATAGTGCCTAGCTCATAGAGTTGCTATACGGATTTTTAGGCACTGTAAATTATTAGTTACATAAAAAGTATCTGCAGACTTGAGTAGCCCCAAAAAGTCAAGATGTACATCTGTGTAGTGATGAAACAGACTAACTGTAAACTCACAGTTTCAACTGTCATTCAATCCTAGGTAATGGTCCATTTCAAAAAGTTTACTTACACAATGATATTATTAATAGGAATATGGATCAACTTCACAAAGAAGCCGATGAATCCCATTATAGCAAATCCTATTGCTGTTGCCATGGCAATCTTCTGGAATTCTGCATTTAAAAACACAAAGCTCACATTAGTTTTTTGCACTGTCACTGAAAATGGGGGGGGGGGACTCATCAGTAACATACACAAACTTTTTTTTTTAACATACACAAACTTACTGGCATACATTTATCCTGATAGATACATTTTGTTAAGTGAGACTATTAATAGTAAATAATTTGTTAGACAGTTTCAAAATTTCCCTATTTTATTGATATTTAAGGAAACATAGAAATAATGCATGTCTGTGCTAGAGAGCTCATCAATAAGCACTGAAAACATATGATCTTTTTATCAATTAACCAGAATTTTCTTTAAAAAGATCATGGATAGAAGCAACAGGTAAAATTTTTCTCAAAAATTATTTAATGTAGAGGTGAGTGGATTGCTTGAGCTCGCAGGTTCAAGATCAGCCTGAGCAAAAGTGAGACCTCCATCTCTAAAAATAGCTTAGTACTGTAGCAGGTGCCTGTAATCCCAGATACTTGGCAAGCAGAGGAAAGAGAATCGCTGGAAACCAAGTATTTGAGGTTGCTGTGAGCTGTGATGCTATGGCACTCTACCACATGGCAAAGTGAGACCAACTCAAAAAAAAAAATAAAAATAAAAAATTATTTAATGTAACATAACTTTAATTGTAACATATGGATTATAAAAACAGAAACATACTTTTTTAGTACATTATAAACAATGGATCTAGTATATTTGATGATATGATAAAGCCAAAAACAAAGCTTAAAAACTCTAATTGGGTTAAGCATAATTTTATAAAAAGACTTCCACCTCTGGTAATGTTTTGATTTTATGTTACTTCCTCAGGAAAGCTTCCCTGACTTCTTGACTTGGTTAGTCCTCCAATTAAGTGCTGCCAAAGTTTTCTTCTGTAATACCAAGGAAGTAATTAAAAAATTCAACTATTTTCAATAATTGAAAAAAATCAACTAATTTCAATCATTTGGTTATGATGCTCTTCCCTGATAGATTCTAAGTTTCTAAGTTCCATAAGAGCAAAGACTATATTGTATGTATTTATATATTATATTACATATATTCTCTATTATATTCCTTAGTCAATGAATACACAAAAATATACAAATTCTGGTGCACTTTTTAATACATGAATCATGATATATAACAAAATAAACTTTCTAGACTGGCAACAACTATACTATTCCTACCATGTTGAGGTTTTGTTTGTTGGGTGGGGGCAAAGCAGGGAGCACTCCAAAGATTCTCCAAAGTGGAAGTATGTGAGATATTAAAAACTCTAAAGTGAAAATTTAGGAAGAAATGACAATTTAAAAAAGCAATAAAGCAAAATAAATCAATAAAACTGTCAATGACCATAATGTAACAGCTATTAATTGAGAAGACGTGAATCAAATTAAAAACTTAGAAAATGGCTCAGTGCCTATAGCTCAAGTGGCTAAGGCTCCAGCCACATACACCAGAGCTGGTGGGTTCGAATCCAGCCTGGGCCCATCAAACAAGGACAGCTACAACCAAAAAAAAAAAAATTGCCCAGCACTGTGGCAGATACCTGTAGTCCCAGTTACTTGGGAGGTTGAGGCAAGAGAATCTCTTGAACCCAGGAGTTGAAGGTTGCTGTGAGCTGTAATGCCAAAGCACTCTACCCAGGGCAACAGCTTGAGGCTTTGTCTCAAAAAAAAAAAGAAAACTTAGAAAACAGTAAGATTTAATTTTTTATCTCACATTAAAGCTATTACCTTTTCTATCAGGTTTGGTACATCTTTTAACTAGTCGAATTGAGTCCTTCACAAACTGCCGACTTGGCTCAACAAACTGCATTACTTGATCCATGTTTGCCTGTTTCACAAAGTAAAAATACAAAAAAGATACTCACTGATATTATCATATAGCAAGGACTTGCTCAGTTATATCAAGATGTAAATGAGACCAGCCATAAATTCATGCCTGATATCTCATGAAATAAAGTAAGACTCCAAAGCCTAGACTGACATTATTTTTATAAATTCCAGCAAAGCATCAGATCAAAGGCAATAAGAAAAGTTCAGATCTTACTCATGTTAGGATCACATATTCATTATATAAAAAAAAAGGCTATCTCTATTGAAAGGTTTAACAACTGACAATACATCCAGCCCTTAATCACTGCAGTCCTTTCATTGCTCCTGCTAAGGAACCAACAATGTTGGAATACAACTCTTTCCTGCATTTTATTTTAAACTACCCAGAAATTAATGCTTAGTACAGCGAATGCCGACTATGGTGCTGCAAAAGCCTAGAATAGAGGCAAATACGGATTTTAACCTGAGGGTTCTGAAACATGACCCTGCAACACATTTAGAGAACAGTGTATTGTGTGGGATGGACAGAGAGAGAAATTAAATTTTCAAAACCACAAAAAACTGGCTAAAACAAGATACATATTTCGAGAAATGATCAGCTCAACTACAGACAGTTGGGTTTGAACACATCTTTTAAGTAAACATCATACAGATTCTTTTGAGAAACCTATTTACCCAAAAGAAATGCCATCCAATCTCAGTTTTAAGAGCCACTGGTATAATAGATAATGAGGCCAGAATATTACTTGTGCTGTATTTTACTCTACGTCCAGTGCTTAGCACAGCGGCCGGATAAGATCGTGGTCCAGCTCACTGGCCATAAAATGTAAGCTTCTCTAAGTCCCAGCCTCCTCGCCTAGGGTGAACAGCAGACGACCGAATGAAATACTGTATATGAAACGCTAGGAATTCTATACCATTCTGGTACAAAAATACAGTAATGCCTGTTTTCTCAGTATTGCACTTAATTTTGTTCTCGAAATACAAAGGGCTTAAAGTTTTTAGAATCATGTATGTCACGAAGAAAGCAAGGATTCTTTCTTTAGGAAAAATGCATATTACCCCAAATAACATTCTCAATGTCAGAAGAGAGACCATGATCTCTTGATCTAGACAGAATCTAGATCAATCCTCTCACTTTATACCACCGGAGTGCTGGCAGGGCTGTCTTTCAAGACAGGATTCCACACACACACTCTCCCAGCCAACCCCGAAGGGATCGCGGCAGCAAGCCGCCGTCTCCGACGCCAGCACAGTAGTTACTGGACGCCCAGAGAGTGACTCCTCACGGAAAAGTGGCAGAGGACACGCACGAGAAAGCAGGACCCAGGACCGGGATGCTAAGCCCGAAGGACCACGGGCCGCCGATGCCCCTGTCCCTCGGGCGACTGCGGGCCGGAGTCTTTCTCCCACCAGGGACTGTGCGGATAGGTGTGTCGGCAACCGGAGGGTCGGACCTGAGCGCAGGGTCCCTCTCACCGCCCAACCGAAGCAGTCCAGGGAGACGGCCTCCGCAAGTCACAGGGCCCAGCCGCCCGGCTCCCCCGTGCCCAGCCAGAAGCCTCACCTGCCAACTGCTACCTAAGATACTAGGGACACGTAGTGCCGGTTCAGACAGATAGATGACCACCGGAGCCGGAAATGAAGCCTCTGACAATAGCCCGCCCACTCTTTCGTCCAATTGGTTCTTTACCCGAAGACCTCAGTACGCTGGCGCAGCGCGACGTGCGTCTTGGCCTCGCAACCGGAAGAGGCCGAGGCCTCGCCCTGACGCGGGTCACGTTGGGGTTGGGGCGCCGCGTCCACCGTACGCTGGCTGGCGGCGTCCGGGTACCCGCCCAGCGGACGTTACGTTACTCACATTCCCATTCAGAGGTCGCTGCGCCTTTGCGTGGCGCCTGCTCACTGGTAGCAGCTAACTAGGTAAATTTGTGGTAATGGATTCTATTTGAGCGGGTAGGGATGTCTCATACCAGTTTATGTGTCCTGCTGCCATCGTGGGCGTGTATCTCCTAACTCCACATACTTTTTGTGTGTACACGTTGTTGGTGCTAGTGACTCTTAACAAATAATTTGACCCAATTGGAATAGTCCCCACACCCACAGAATGTGGCCTTCCGCTTCCAATCGCGGGAATATTGCTAGACTTGAGGACACTGTTTGGCATGGCAGACGGTAAGGCCTGATCTGAGGAAGTGGTTAAAATGCACATCGTATTCCCTCCTTTGGGGGAGGCACTCTAATACCCCCGCTGGATGCCTCAAATCTCGGATACTACTGAACCCTGTACATAATGGTTTTTCCTATACTGTACATGCATACTTGCGATAAGGTTTAATTTATAAATTAGCCACAACAGGAACTTAACAAAAATAACTAATAAAATAGAACAGTTTTACAATACACTGTGATAAAGATTGTGTATATATGATCTCTCAGACTAACTTACTGTCCGTACCCGGTTTTGAACCAGATTTTCCTCGGAGACTGGGGAACCAGTGGAGGTGCTATTTGACTGATGTCTTTTTGAGAATATTATGAACTCAGACATCTGGGTGACGTTGCCAATGTATGATTTTGTATTGTCAGAAAAAGTTATTGTTTTGACAGTGATTTATTGAGCGCCTTCGTTGTATAACACTTTATTAGATGCTATAAAAGAGCCAGATGTCATAACCTCTTGGAGCTTAAGGTCCAGTAAATTGATTTACAGTGTAAGGTAGTATAGGGCAGGCAAGTATAATTTATTACATATGAAATGTCCAGTTTCTTTAAAGCTTACATCTCTGATATTTCACCTTGTCACTTGGTTGTTTTTTTTTTCCTCTCTCAATTCTTTCAAACACATGTTTTGGCTTGTGATGATCTTTCAAAACTTTTTAAAGCAAATTTGGTGAAATCATGAACAAGTTAAAACTTCCTGTTATTTTTGAATATGAATTCCATCATGGAACCAATGCAATGCCGACAGGTGGGAATATCAACAGTGTTTGCAAAGAATGTGGCTGATGGTTTCAGAAGTTCCATTCTGGTGTTTTTAATCTTGAAAATGAGCCACACGGCCAACCTGAGACCAAGTTGGATAATAATAAGGCAAAAAACATTTCTTTAATGGTTTTAATTTTAAAACACCAAATCTGCAAAGATATAGAACAAGGAGAACTCTCATACACGATTGGCAAGAATGTAAAATGGCATAATCCTTCCGGAAAACGTTTAGTAGTTTGTTATAAAACTGAGCATATACCATCCTGTGACTCCAATTCCAATCCTAGGTATTTACTAAAGATATATGAAATGAATGAACAAAAAGACTTGTACAGTAATGCTTATAGCTTTATTCATAAAAAAAAAAAAAAACTAATGTTAAAGTGAAGAAATATGCAAGTATAGTGCCACAATGAACCACATGTAATTGGTTATTGAGGAAACAACTTACAGTAATATTGATGAATGAAAAAAATCATGGTGAATGAAAGAAACCTATGCAAAAGAGCATATACTATAGACTTCCATTTATAAGAAGTCCTAGACAAGATAAAACTAATGTATGGCGGGAAAAATCATAACAGCATTTGTTTCTAGGGGTATAGATTGAGAAGGAGGATGAGGAAGCTTGGGAGTGAAAGTAAGATTCTGTACCCTGAAAGGAGGTAAAGCTGTGTGGGGGCCTCAGCCACTTTGGGCAGCTATAACAGAGTATCATAGACAGGCGGCTTGAAGAACAGCCTTTTATTTCTTTTGAAGTCCTGGAGGTTGGAAATGAGAGATCAGGGTACCAGCCTGGTCAGGTTCTTGAAGGCCCTTGTCCTGGCTCTCTCCCCACATAGTAAAAAGGACTAGTTTTCTTCCCCAAAGGACACAAATCCCATCACAGGTGCTCCCCCTCCAAATACCAACTCATTATGGCTCAACATATGATTTGTTGGGGGGAGGGTGAAACAAACATTCAATTCATAGTGACAAGTGTGTGCATTCATCATAATTCATATAGTAATACAGGTCTTTGCATTCTATATGAAAAAATAGGACACTGTAAGCAAATATTGAACTCAAGTTAAATGGTGTACCTGTTGGTATATTTAGGAGTGAAGTCTATGGGTGTCTGCAACTTATTTTGATTTAAAAGAGTGTAGATCCATGGTTGGATAGAGGAACGGATCAGTGTGTGATAAAGCAAACATAGTAAATGTTAAATGGACTCTTAGTTGTAGGTGTAAGGGTGTGCATTGAGACATATGTTTGAAACTTTTTATATGAAGATGGGAAAAGTCCATATGCAGATCACTAAATCAAGTTTTAAATTTTTTGTTTTGACATGAATTACGATAATTATGAATTGAATGTATACATTGTAGAAATTTTAAATTGACCCTCAATTTAAAATATCAATGAAATATTAATGTCACTTGTGATAAGAATCTGAATTAATGATCCACTTAAATTCTTGATTCTATGCCTGAAGCAAAAAAAAGTTTTAAAAGATGTATATAGAGGACCAAGGACTGCAAAGTGCCTGTCTTGTTGGTGCGTATTGCTTCATTAAGTAGCTGAACTAAGTAGGAAGAGCTATATTTTTTAAAATGTGAAGCTGACACTCAGACATTAAGTATAATAAATCTATGGTTGGGATGGTATAAAATTATGGAAGTATTAACAGTTCCTCAGGAAAATTCAAAAAGTATATGTAGATGCAAACATGCAGAGTCTCTCAGACAAGAAAATCTTAGTGTTGGCTTGGCCCCTGTGGCACAGTGGTTATGGTGCCGGCCACATACATCAAGGCTGGTGGGTTCAAACCCAGCTTGGGCCAGCTAAACAACAATGACAGCTGCAACCAAAAAATAGCTGGGGATTGTGGCAGGCGCCTGTAGTCCCAGCTACTTTGGAGGCTGAGGCTAGAGAACTGCTTAAGCCCAAGAGTTTGAGGTTGCTATGAGCTATGACACCACAGCACTCTACTGAGGGTGATACAGTTAGACTCTGTCTCAAAAAACAAAAGAAAATCTTAGTGTTAAATGTGATCAGGTCAAATAAAGTTTTCTTCACTCCCTCAAATCCTTTTTGAAAAAAGATAGGATTTTAAGTACTATAAAAACATTATCTTATTTTGTCAGAAACACAACTAGAATAGGGCAGTGCAGATGACTTGAGATTTAGATATCATGTGCATAATTATCACTGACCCTGTTCATCAATTCCAGTTTTTATTGACTATTTGCTCTTGAAACTACCTGCTCCCTTTACTTCAAGATAATTTTCTTTAAAAAACAAAACTGAAAAACTTTCCTGAGTCTCCTTAATGGACTTCTTTTCCTGCACGTGTCCTGGACTGGACAGGGCAAGCTAACTTTCCCAACTCACAGACCCAATAACCAGCTAACGTAGTCTTTGTTCCTCATCCAGGCCACAGCCTCAGGTGGATCTGAGGCAGGAATGTGTCCGTCTCACCCAGTCACGCAGTGTTTCAGGCTCCTTCCAGTGTGAAGTGGTGCTGTTTTTTGAGGTCTTTTGAGTCCCTTAACATGTCCTTTGCATCTGGGGAAGAGAAAGAAACAGTATGAAGGGTTGTGTGAGACTTGAGAGTCCTGAAAATAGCTTTTACCACTTTCACCTGTGTTTCACTGCCCAGCACTCTTGTGCCTTCACTGTGGAGGTGGTGGGGACGCTGTCTCTCTCTGTGCTGAGGAAGAGGCAGTGGTGTTACTGAGAAGTCAGCCAGTCTTTAGCAGTTTTTAATATATGTATTTGTTTTTTTTTAATTTTATTTCTTACAGCATAACTGTAGCATTAATGCAATCATGGGGTATAGTGTGCTGTTTTCATACACATTTTGAAATACTCTCATCAAACTGGTCAACATAACCTTCATGTCATTTTCCTAGTTATTGAGTTAAAACATTCATACTCTGCTTTTAGAAAGATTCACTTGTACCCTTGTAAGATAAACCATTGAGGTGACCCCACCAATCTCCCTCCCTCCCCCCTCACCCCCTACCCCCTTCTCATATTCTAAGGCTATAATTAAGTTATGAAATTCCTATAAAAGCTATAAATTAGTTTCAAAGTAGGGCTGTGTACATTGTATACTTTTTCTTCCATTCTTGAGATACTTTGCTAAGAAGAACATTTTCCAATTCTATCCATATAAACATGAAGGAGGTAAAGTCTCCATCCTTTAGGGCTGCCTAGTATTCCATGGTGTACATGTATCACAATTTATTGATCCATTTGTGGGTTGAAGGGCTTCTTCCATGACCTAGCAATTATGAATTGGGCTGCAATAAACATTCTGATACCAGTATCTCTGTTGTAGTTTGCTTTTTGGTCTTCTGGATAGATACCTAATAAAGGAATTGCAGGATCAAATGGCAGGTCTATTTTTAGTTCTCTCAGTGTTCTCCAGATGTCTTTCCAAAAGGAAGAAAGGAATTTGCATTCCCACCAGCAGTGTAGAAGTGTTCCCTTTTCTCCACATCTATGCCAACATCTCTGGTTTGGGGATTTTGGGATATGGGCTAATCTCACTGGGGTTAGATGGTACCTCAAAGTAGTTTTGATTTGCAT